CTATGGTTGCAAATATAAAAAAATTTCTATATGTGACATGGCACCAGAGTTAAGTTAGGATTTTCAAAATGCTGACACGCCGAGCTCAAAAGGTTCGCCATCACTGGTATAGACCCTGCTCTATCAGCTTCAGTGTTTGTGATGCCAAAACTGGGTAATTTGTCGTATCCTTGGGGAGGAGGTAAGTGAAACAAAAGACTGCTCTCAGTACAAGGAAGAATTACGCATCCCTGGAAAGATTTAAAAAGTTGAGGAGAGCAATCCAATCGGCAGTCCCTATCAAGTCCCACAGCTGCCTTTAGGTCCAGCTATTGTACTTAAAAAATAGATATATTATTGATTTCAGAGAGGAAGGGAGAGGGAGAGAGAGAGAAACATCCACGATGAGAGAGAATCATTGATCGGCTGCCTCCTGCATGTCCCACACTGGGGATCTATCGCACAACTTGGGCATGTGCCCTGACCAGGACCCGGAATCGAACCGTGACATCCTGGTTCATAGGTTGATGCCCAACCACTGAGCCACGCTGGCCGGGCAAGCTATTGTACTTTTGATAACTTAGCTACCTTGGATCTAACCAAGAAAGAAAAACAAAGAAAAAAGTCATCCTGGAAATTTTTGAACCACAAAGGGTCAGAACTCACACAGCCTGTGTGGATCCCAAACCCAAGTGGAAAACTTAGATAGATGCAGTCCTGGCTGGGCAGTGACCCCAGGTGCTGCCAGCTCCCTGGAGAACCCACGCTGAACGTAGGCCACAGATGAAATTCAAAGCAACGCACACTGATAATCACACATAGATGGGTCTCTCTCACATGCTAGTCTGCTGGGAGTTACACTTTCTTACGTGACTGAAATACAGGGCGATGATGGTACGACAGGGAAGTCTCCCTAGTCCATAGCAAGTTTTCACATGAATGCTTGGGAGCAACCACGGGGAAGCTTTCTCACAACAGCACGTGGGGCAGACAGTCTGGGAAAGATGTGCCCGGCAAAGCTAACCCCCCAAAGCAGGTAAACTAGGCTTCTAGGCGTAAAGCATGAGCGTGGAAAGAAGGTGACACTGACGACAAGTTCAATCTCATGGAAGATATTACAGTTCTAAACTGTATTTCTTAATAAAATAACTTCACAGTAGCAGAGCAAATTGACAGGAAATGGCAAACCTTCCACTGTTATCATCACACGAGTTAGCTTACTGATCACTGGCCACTGCCATATCGGCTGGGAATATCTTGCACATATTAACTCCCTGAGTACACCCACCAGCCCTCTGCGCTGTATCCCCGTTGTACCGACAAGGAAAGCAAGGCACAAAGAAGTGATATGTCTCTCTCAACAAAGGTTACAACAAGCCGACCCCCAAATCCTAGTGGTGGGAAGATTTGGACGACACAATCAACAAGTCTGATCTGATGGAAATAGGTAGACTCTGCAACTAAGAGCTGGAGAATACACAGTCTTTTCAATTACTTAAAGAACATTTACAAAACTGACCAAGTGCGAGGCCTCAACAACCAGAAAAGACTCAAACTTGGGCTTTTTACAACCACAATGCAATTAAATTAGAAATCAATAACAAAAAACAGATGTTTAAATATGTCATACAATTGAAAAATTTAAAACATGCTTCTAAATAAATCATAGGAGAGATTAAAAAGTAAAAGAAATGAAAAAGATCGGGACGTGAACAATAATAATAACAGACATTAAAATTCGTGGGTTGCAGATAAATCAGTGCTTACATAAGAAATTTGTTACTCAACTGCTTATAATAGAAAAGGAGAAAAGTTGGAATGAGGTAAGCATCTGAAGAAAAAAACATTTAAAGGACAAGAGATGAAATCCAAAGACATTGACAGAGCCCTCGCTGGTTTGGCTCAGTGGATAGAGCTTTACCCTGTGGACCAAAGGGTCCCAGGTTCGATTCCCATGTACCTTAGTTGCAGGCTCCTCCCCGGCCTGAGCCCTGGTCAGGCTCACGCAGGAGGCAACCAATTGATGTGTGTTTCTCTCACATCAATATTTCTCTCTGTCTTTCCCTCTCTCTTCTACTCTCTCTAAAAATCAATGGAAAAATATCCTCGGGTGGCGATTATAAAACAAACAAACAAACAAAAAAACAAAGATGTTGACAGAGAAGGTTGAAGGAAAGGAAATGAAATAGAAAATAGAAGTAGAAAAGAGAAGTTGCACCAAGACAAATTGTGGTTCTTGGAAAATCGTAATAAAAATGATTTTGGAAAAATGACCCCAAAAAGGGGGTGGCGGGGGGAGGAGTATAAATAAACAATATTAGGAATAATCAACATATGCAGCAAAAATTAAGGTGAGAGATTATGGGCAACATTTAGCCAAGATATTTCAAACCTTAAGATGAAATGGAGATATTTCTAGAAAAATATTACCCCAAGATCAACCAAAGCAGCAGACATTAAAGTAATCGAATCAGTAGTGAGAAACTTTCCCACGATGCAATATCACGAAACATTTAAAAACTGTTAATTTCATCTCACATATATTATTTCAGAATATAGAAATATGAGTAAGCTTACTACAAAACTAGTACGTAAAGCAAACTAGAACAGACAAGAACAATTATAGGCTAATCTCAATGACTACAGACGCAAAAATCTTGAGTGAAATAAAATAATACACGGTGACCTAGTTGGAATTGTCCCAGGAATGCCAATTTGGTTTGATATAAGAAAACTGATCCATGAACTCTATCCCATTAATAATGGGATGAAAGGAAGCAGAAAATTTATTTGACGATATTCAATATCAAGTCAAGCTTAACAAAACCTCTTGGCAAAATAGGAAAAGAAGGGAAATCCCTTAACCTGATAAAGGGCATATTAAAATCATGCCGAATGGAGAAACATTTGAAGCCCTCTTTATAATCAAGCACATGATAAGGAGTCCACAATTACTGCTTCTAGCAGCGTAATGGAGGTCAAAACCAGCAGAGCGAGATAAGAAAAATAAATAAAAGGCATAAGGACTGCAAAAGAAGAAATAAAACCGTCATTCTATGCCGGTGATAGGACTGTCTCTATAGAAAAGTCAAAATAGAAATGAAAAGAGTTTAGCAAGGCACCGGGCTCTAATAGTAACATATGAAAGACGTGCTCTATATTCCACCTGAATAAAGTGAAAAACATAATATCAAATGAGAACAAATAAAGTCAGAAGAAATTAAATGAGCTCTGGCCGGTGTGGCTCCGTTGGTTGAGCATCATTCCGTGCACCAAAAGGTCCCTTGTTCGATTCCCGGTCAGGTTCCCGACTTGGTACTGAACCTGCAAGCTGGGCATGTGCCCCGACCGGAAATCCAACCAGGGACCTTTTGATGCACGGAATGATGCTCAACCAACTGAGCGTGTCACACCAGCCAGGGCAGGGTCAATCTATTGTAATTGAATAATATTTTTTATAGTTTGGAAAGTTGTCTGTTTAAGGAGAACTCACGACAAATTTATGGTAATTTATAGTAACTTTACCAGCATATTAGTATATCTTTTGGTAAAGTAAATAAATGAGAATGTGTATTTTAATGTACTAGATAATTCTAGAGGAAGGCATACTGACATATACCTTGGCTTTAAGCAAGGAATTTGGCAGGAGGGGCAAATAATGAAATAGCTAACACACACTTTTTCAACTCATCTCGTCTGCAACGAACTTGGCAAAAGTGAAAGAAACCTCTGAAAAGGCAGGCTTTTCCCAGGAGGGGCAGGAGGCTGTGGCCGCCAGCACAGCCCTGGGCAGCAACGAATGAAGACTGTTATTTAACAGCCTGATCTGTTTACGCCCTATTGATGACTGTCATAAAAAGAAAATTCAGCTTCGAGGGAGCAAACGCCAGAAGACACAGCGCAAGCTCTCTGACACTCCTTGTTGCCAATTCCAGTGCATTCAGAGAAGCCGAGGACTTGCATGCGGGCTTCAGCTGCAACCTGCTAGCGACCGGATGACTCACTCAGAAGCAGGCCAGCGCGGGAGCCTCCTTATCTGTCGAACGGAAGCACCAGAGGCAGCCAAGCTCTCGCTGCACATCCGCCCTGGGTTTCAAGAGGTTGGCTTTTCTTTGAAAAGCCATTAGTGAAAGCCACAATCTCCAGACACCAACCCCTGGGCTGCGGTCATGGTCTAAATCTCCGTGTTATCATCCTGGTGACTGAACAAATAAGCAAACTGCCCAACACCCACGAGCCCCCAAGTTTCAGCTTCAGGTCCCCATGGCAGCTGACACAAATGGAAAATGATCCCACGTTGAGTGGCCTTTTGTGGCTGCATCAGAAAGGAGAACTTGGGGACCGACCCTCTGGGAGGGTGCGTGACGAACATTGAAAAGGGGAAACGAGAGACAGGCTTACTTTCACCTTACCTTTTCAACATCCGCTTTTGTGACGTTGATGTCAGCATCCATTTTCTCAAAGTACTGCTGCGCCCGGTCAGCCTCCTTGCAATCCCGCTCAAATCGCCGCTTGCTCTGGAAGCCGAGGAAAGCGGTGGAGGGGAAAGGGGTGACTAACGAAACCAGGAGATTCCTCTGAGCACTGGCTTTTACCCAAATCCCCCAAAGAGCATTCTTCTCCCAACGGATTGCTGGGTCATAATCTCAGGATGCTACTTTATTTATCTTTAAATAAGTCTTTATTGTTGAAAGTATTAAGTATGCCCTTTTTTCCCCTCCCACTGACCCCTTCTAGTCCGACCCCGCCTCCTGCCCGAGGCCTTCACCACCCTATTGTCGTTGCCCATGGGTTATGTGTCAGGACCAACGGCCTAATCTTTGTTCTTTCCACGTGGTTTTTAGAAAAAACACTCTCCTTGAGCTCTTTTGGCTCAACATTTTACTTCAGATAAAAGTTTCTAGAAACACTCTACACTCAGATTAGAAAAATCTCTCAAGGCGTTTTCTTTAGTGTTTTCGTTTGTTTTGAACATACTGACTGATTCAAGCTGAAATTCAATTCCAGTTAGAAAATCGGCCCAGGCCTTTCCCGGGCTGCTGGCTTCTCACTCACCGACTCGAGCTGCTTCCAGCAGGTCTCTATGTGCTGCTGGGCCTTCCGTCCGTCATGAAAGTGCTGCAAGCGAGAAACACTAGGGATCAGCGCACCCTCCTGCTCACAGTGACACGAGAGAAAAAGCCCACCCGCTAAAATAATACTTAAATATTGAACACCCAGCATGTGCACACCCAAGAAATCGAAGAGTTAAAAAATAAAGGGAAATGAAAACAAGAATAGCCAAGAGTAGCCTTTGAAACTTTAGATGTTATAATAATTGAATTCTAAGACTTATATACACAATTTGTAAAAGTGATAGTGAAGTTTTAAGACAAAAATCACTTAGATCTTTATTTTTAATTGCTTTGAGATGTAACTCACATACCATACAATTCACACGTGCAAATTGACAAGTCAATGGTTTTTACTAGAGTCACACAATTATGCAACCATCACTATAATCAATTTGAGAACATTTTTATCACCCCAAAGAGAAACCACGACCTCTTAGCTGTCACTCTCCTACCCAGATCCTCCCCAGGCCTGGGCAACCACTCATCTTTCTGTTTCTATAGATACGCCGCTTCTAGATGTTTCATAGAAATGGAATCTCACAACATTATCTTTCGTGACTGGCATAATGCTCTTATCACTTCATAATGTTCACTGAGCAGATTATCTCTCCAAGGTTCATCCATGTGTCACACGGATCATTTTTATCACTAGGCAACATTCCACTGTATGGATATATGCCACCATTTGTTTATCCATTCACCAGCCGATGGCCTTTGGGTTGTTCCCAGTGTGGGGCTGCTATGAATAATGCAGCTACAAGTATTTGTGTAAAAGTTTTGAGTAGGCAGATGTTTCCATTACCTAGGACTTTTTAAATTTATGGTAGATTCACCTGCTACCTGCGGAGGCCCTGGGGCAGATATGTGCCTGGTGTTGACACCCGAGGACTAGACCAGAGTGAGCCTCACAAACATTAGGAGCCAGGGGTCAGAGAAGAAAGGGGCAGACTGGGGGGGTCTGTGGGCTTCTTGTCTGAATGAGCGGGGAGCAGGGGTGACGGACTACGGAAGCACCGTGCTGTGAAGAAGGTTCCAGGTGGCAGGCTCTCTCCACCCGTGGAGATGACAAACACTTGGACCACGGGGTGCAGGAGAGGTGGTGGGAGAGGATCAGATGCTGGGGCCCTTTGATCAGGAAAGCTGCCGGGATGTGCGGTTGCATGGGACCAGATGTGGGCTGTGATGTGCTCAGATGTCAGGGTGACTCCGAGGTTGTCCTGACCTGCCTGGACGCGTGAGCAGGCTCCTCACTCTCCGGTTCTGTTGGGGTTGCCATGGAGAGGTTCCGGCGTATCAGAGGGCGGGAATGGACGCCTGCAGCTCCCCCAGCTAAGATGCTCTCGGCCGGGTGGGTCCCCTGACCAAGGCTGCAGCTCTGGTGAGGCAGCTGCCCGGAGCTAACCTGTTTCCTGGAGCGGCCCGTGGAGCTCAGCATCCCTGATGGCTTTTCCTGGCCCCTCTCCACAGCGGCCTAAACGCTCCCTTTAATCCACGGGCTCCCTTCAGTGACTAGGACAGGTAAGCAGGGGAAGGTGCTGCGGGGAAGGCAGGTGAGGAGGGACAGGAGCCCAGAGGCCCTCCGCACAGCCTCAGAGTCCCACCTCACCTGTCAGAACTGAGGCTCAGCTGAGTCACAGGCGGCAGCTGACCGCTGGGAGGCTGGGAGCAGGGGAAGGGCAGGTTCTCTCGGAAAAGACAGCGCTTCTTTACAGGGACTGTTTCTCGCCTCCTGTGAGGTCACGTTCACTGTTGTAAGCGCCTCTTTACAGCCAGCTGCATCCATCCAGCAGCTTTTTAGTGTCTATGAACCCAAGAGAGCCCCTGGGCTTCATTTTTCCAGCCTCATCACAGCACGGGGATGCGGCAGAAAAGAGAGCGAGTCCACGGCAGCAATAAACCAGCAGGACAGGGTCACGGCTGTGGGGAGTCGGAATAGAGCGGGGCAGAGCTAGGAAGCCTTGAGTTTCGGAGGAAGTACAAAGTGGAAGCAGGTTTCTGGAAGCCACAAAGATCCCTTATAACGAGACCGGAGGGAAGCAGTGGTGAGGGGGTGCTCAGGGGAAAGAGATGTGGGCAGACGGGGAGGCAGAGGGACAGGCCGGGACAGACGGGCTCACTGTGCCCTTCCAGTGAGGCCCTTCGAGCCCGAGTCCCTGTCCATCCAGAAACGCAACTTTCCCAAACTGCCCCGAGGATCGTCCCCATTCCGAGAGCAGGGACCACCACGTATGCGGTTTTCAGAAAAGTCTCACCATTCCCCCCAATTTCACTCTGAGATTCAAAGACGGACCCATACAGAGGGAGTCACCGAGCCCCAAGTCCCGAGCCGAGCTCCAGGCTGGTGCCCAGCTCTGGGCTTCCACGCGCAGCACCTCCCTGTGTGGACAGGAAGCACGCACAGGATGCGCAGAAAGTGGTGGGCCCACAGGAAAGGCTCTGCTCTATCGAAGGATCTTCCCTGAGGACACAGTCTTCAGACACTGGCCATTAGGGGAGCAGGAGGGATGGCTCCGACCGAAACCCCACCTGGGGAATCCTCCTGTCGCGCCTTCATCGAACTATTTTAGAATAAATGTGAATTTACTTTTCAAGCATAGCATGGACCCTGACTTTGCTGTGAGCTTTCTCCCAATGACGCCTGAGCCACAGCTTTCAGACGAAAGCAGGATCCCCAACCACATGCGTGACCCCATGGCTTCACGTGATGTGAGAAAAAGCACAGGTGCCTGTGATCTCTTTTGAATCGTTCCTTATAGCATGTGCCCCTCCAACACTCATGTGGCTGCCCGGCTGGCGTGCTTCAGTGGTTGAGCATCGACCGATGAACCAAGAGGTCAAGGTTCAATTCCTGGGCAGGGCACATGCCTGGGTTGTGGGCTCAATCCCCACTGTGGGGTGTGCAGGAGGCAGCCAATCAGTGATTCTCATCATTGAAGCTTCTCTCTCTCCCTCCTTCACCCCTTTTCTCTCTGAAATCAATAAAAATATATTTAAAAAAACAAAAACTCATGTGGCGCGCGCGCGCACATACACACACACACACACACACACACACATACACACACACGCATGCACACGCACATACACGGTCACATAGGAAACGGACGGATGGAACCAAAGCCCGCCCTGGGCCTGCGCGTGCCTGACCCAGATAGCGGTGGTTTTCAACGGTTACAAGTTAAACTCACCCGCTCGCCAGATGTGTTTGTTGTTTACTGACAAGCAATGGCAAGCACATTTCTTCTCTGGACAGTGAGCAAGTGTGTACTGAGAAGTGTGCCTCCGAGGCCGCATAAAGAGGGATTGTTCTCCAGGAGATAACAAGCGCTCCGCTGGCCCGGTGAGGTCATCGCAGCTCCCTGCTCTCCTCTCCGAGGACAGACAGGAAATGCCAGCTCCCCAGGCCCAGCGCCACGCTCCCACTCTCTCCTGGAATAAGATGCTTTCGTTTCTCTCCAAACACAATAAGACTTTCAAAAATGCCTGATGGTATCTGGGTGACAGCTAAACTCACTTTCATGTCAATGCTTTGGCTGACCCTTAAACATATACAAGCACATTCATCCTTTAAAAATGTTTTAGAAATTTCCCAGTGACCAGGGGTGGCTGAGATAAAAAAAATCACAGGGAAGCTAAAATAAACACACATTAACCTAAAGAAAATTACAGTGACAAAGTTCTCAGGGTACTGCTCTGCGAGACATCATACTTAGGCTGAACAAAGTGTGCAAATGTTTATTATTCTCACTCCACAATTAGGTACAACAGCTGTTTACTTTCACTATATAAATATAATAGTTCATTAACTTCTAAAACTCCTTAATAAAGCAAAATATGGCATTGATGTGAGAACAGCCACTCAAAAAAAAAAAAAAAACAAACTGGGGGGGAAAAAAAGAATAAACACTCAATTGAGGACAGTCAACCATCTGGAATTTTAAATAAAACTCAGATTCCACAGATGAAAACAAAGGAACACAAAGACTTGAAAAGGGCAAAGAAAAAAAGAGCATCCAGAAAATATGTCTGTGACAAATATTATAACTTCCTCAAAACCCACAGAGCGGCGGGTCTGAACACTGGCCCTTCTCAGCCTGCCCCAGGGTTAATTCATGCACCGCTAAGTCTCTGTGGGTAGAGATGTGTGTACTGGGGAGGAAGACTGTGAGCCACCTTCAGACTGGCTCAAAGGAGCATTTCACCCTCATTTAAGTCCGAAACCATAAACCCAGGAGCGTTCGTGACAGGAGTCGCATTCTGCTTTGATTTAAGGCTTATTTTCCCAAATTCATTTATAATAAAAATACCTTCTCAGCAAACTTGTTTAAAGTTCCTAAAAGCCTCCTTCCCACTGCCATGCTCAGTGGCTTAACTTCACCAAACACTGACCATCGGGCCCCGGGCAGGGGACCCCGATGAGCCCAGGCCCAGGCCTAGGCCCAGAGCCAGCAGCACCGGCCTCCATGTCCACGCTCCTGCTCCCGAGGAGAAACGTGTGGCTCAGACATCAGCCAGGGAAGAACCTAGACGCTCTGCTTTCATAGGTGGCAAGTCAAGATTGTCTTTTTAAGAATTTACCTTTGAAAAGTCAACATATTTTCCCAAAGACGAGCCTACAGATTTGTGTATCAGGACAAACACTGGTTATTCATACTATTATGTGAGTGAGCAGCACTGAAATATGAGAATGAATACAGCACAGGTGGAAACCGCTGCGTAAAAAACATCTTTTCTCCTAGAAGCATGAGTATCTAGTACTCTCCTATTTTGGTTGGAAATTTGAAAGCTTCGACATCAAACAGCTGACTCACTGTCATGCTATGGCCCCAAAGGCAAGAAGAATGTCCATCCCTCCCACTACCTGCCTTTCCCCTACTGCCTCTCACGTCTACACAGGAAGGAGGGAGCCTCCCCTTTTGCAGCGTGAGCCATTTCACCATGCAGGCTCTTGTTAGGGCTTCATCTCTTTCAACTGGCAAAATCGAGATGAAAAATAATTCTCTACTAGGATCCTGAGCGTGGAAATACTCTATGCCAGTGGTTCTCAACCTTCCTAATGCCGCGACCCTTTAATACAGTTCCTCATGTTGTGGTGACCCCCAACCATAAAATTATTTTCGTTGCTACTTCATAACTGTGATTTTGCTACTGTTATGAATCGTAATGTAAATATCTGATATGCAGGATGTATTTTCATTGTTACAAATTGAACATAATTAAAGCATAGCGATTAATCACAAAAACAATATGTAATTATATATGTGTTTTCCGATGGTCTTAGGCGACCCCTGTGAAAGGGTCGTTCGACCCCCAAAGGGGTCTCGACCCACAGGTTGAGAACCACTGCTCTATGCTGTAAATCTGAAATCGTCCCTTTGGGCAGACAGGATTTCGCCACTGTATCAAATGGCCCAAAAGGTATTGCACTGAGGGTTAAGAATGGTACTTAAGCAAGACATTGTCTCTAGTCAGCCATGAGAAACAGTAGCTAGACCTAAAAATCTGGTACTTGTGGCAACCATCAGAACTGAATGACATAATGATGTTGGTCATTATTATTTACCGTCTCCTCCACTTGGGTGGGAGCCCTAGCTATCTTGCTGGTTCATGCATCGGGGCACTGAAAGAATTCTGTGGGCTCAAATCTACATAAAAAAAGCATGTCACTGGCCGACTTCGTACTTTATTGCTAACAAATTATTATGCACCTAGCAAGCGATCAAAGCTCAAAGATACAAATCATGGCTTAAAAACAGATCTTAGGGCAAACCTTGACTATGAATATACTGAGCGTACATTTTTCTCTCTTGTTCACAATAAAAGCCATGAAAAGAATTTAATGGTGTCGAGAGGAGCAGAAAGGTCCTACTCATTAGATAGCAACGGATGAGCCAAGAAATCAGGTGGGTGGAACTAAGGTCATCTTTCTTGCTTTTTAAAAGTCCTTGTAAGCATTTATTTTAATACTACTTATTCCACACAGCACACCCCATCTTATACTGCTTATCCTTGTTGGACTGATATGCTCAAATATATTTAAATGCCTCAGAGGAATTAGTATTCTGGGGCCCACAGATGCACTTCAGAGTGTCTGAGGGGCCCTTGAAATTGTAAAGACCTAGGAACAAGGTCCATACTTTTATACGATTCTCAAAGGAATCAGTTTAAGTCCCACCATTTATGATTCTATTTAATTTTAAGGTTTCTAGGGATATTGCCCTTATCTTTGGTCCACTTCTTTGAAAGAAAAAACAAACTTTGTACCGATTTCCTTTCCTGCTTCAGTTCCTGGACGTAGCGTGCTAACCCCGCGAGGATCTGTGAGGTCAAGTTCTCGGAGACGACTTCATGCTGCCCTGCGTAATCGTTCATTTCGTTCAGGGTGGAAAGGAAGGCTTTACACGCCGTATACCTGCGGAACAGAACACATGGAACCTTTTTCAAACGCGGTCACATCTGTGCTCACACTGCTTTACGCCGGAGAAATAGTCATTAAAATCAACCTCCCATGGGATCCTGACAATTCATTACACGTAAGAGTGTTTTCATCAAAACGGTTCAGAATTAATTACAACAGAAACTCTTTTCATTTTGTGGAAACTGAACTGCTCTATGCAGGGCAATAAAATACTTAGTGCAAATATAACCCAAAACACATATACATGCTGTATGTATGAACCTAATGGCTATTTAGCCCCAAGTTAGAGACATAATACTTTGGGACTGTCCATGTTCAGCCTTAGTCGCTGGCTGAAATGGACATATTTCTTGGATGAATTAGGCTGAATGAGACTCTTGACATTATAAAACCAAATCAAGATTGTAAAGCAAGCATGTCAAACTCAAAGGCTAACACGGGCCAAACAAACAAGGTTTAAGTTTATGTGAGCCACAAAAAAAAACATAAAGCTTCAATTTTCATAGAAACGTAGGTTTATTTCGATAGAGAAATGCTGAATACAAAGGGCTGAAATAAATGAGTAATCGTTAACATAATAGAACATTTTAATAAAAATTAATATTTTTTCTTGAACATTAACTTACCAGACACTGAATAACTGCACAAATTAATAAGCGAAACGAAAATAAACCTATTTTTCTTGTTCTCTGAAAGCAAAATATTTCCTGTTGTGCACACCAAACAAGTCAGTACAAGACTAATGACGTGGCCATCAGTTGCTAAAATATTCGCTGCTAGTATTAGTGGAGAGAAATGGTGCGCCTGCGCATAAGGCACGTAAGGGACATGAATGCAACATGGTTATAGTAATCGGTCATTAGCGAACATTGTTGTTCGTTATTAATATCCTGTATAACAGGATATTGTAAAAATTAAGTTACAAAAGTTTTATTAAGACGTTTCTGACATACTGTTATACTGGCTGGGCCACAAAAATATTCATTGTGGGCCTCGAGTTTGACATGCTTGCTGTAGAACGCACAATCCATACTCCCTGCACTTGCTTGGATTCTATTCCAAGCTTTTCCTAATTGCCCTCATTGGAACCATCCATAAAAGGTCTAGTGACTCAGCACAAGAAAAGTTCCTTGAGTAGGTTTTTGTTTTTCTCTCCCCCCAATTTAAAAACGGACACAAATGTGAGAAGAGAATGCAACTTATTGTTGTAGGTCTCCACCTCCCCTTTCCCTCACAATCACCACCAGTGGCGCAGAGAGTGCCGCGTCATTATCGATGAACATACCTGTATTCTTCTTCCTCCTTCGAGTTCTTTTTGGGTTGGTATTTCTTCGAGAGGTTCCTGAAACAAAAATGCGGACACGTCACCTCACATAGGGCTAAGCGAGAAGTCAGGGGTCACAGAGGACGTTAGTGCTTTCTTTTATTTGTAAGTTTAAAAAAATAATCACAAAACTCCCACAGCTGAAATCCACAAATTTCCTTCCACCCTCGACCGTGTGCGAAGAAGCTCCTGCGATGAAGGATTGCACAGCTGAGTCTTGGCTCACGGGTGGAGCCGGAGAGAGCGGGGGTGGTCGCTAGTTGGCCCCTTCCTGGCTGTGGACAGCCGACTTGACTTCACGGAGAACACAGGCCACGTGTGTACACGCAGTGGCTTCCATGTAGCACTGAGCTGAGGGCAGTTTTTCTCACCAGGCCACCACGCCCTCGGGGTCATCTTCCATTGAGCATCACTGCTCTAAATTCCAGGGAAGCACATGCACTGTGTCCAAATGTTTAAGTTAAGAATAAAAAAATAAAAATAAATAAAAAGAATCACAGTGCCAAGGGCATGTGGTCAAGGCTGGGGGGTGGCTCCCCCATAGAGCTAGTAAATCAGTTTTCTAAGGCAGTAGAGCAGTGATGGCGAACCTTTTGAGCTCGGCGTGCCAGCATTTTGAAAAACCCTAACTTAACTCTGGTGCCGTGTCACATATAGAAATTTTTTTATATTTGCAACCATAGTAAAACAAAGACTTATATTTTTGATATTTATTTTATATATTTAAATGCCATTTAACAAAGAAAAATCAACCAAAAAAATGAGTTCGCGTGTCACCTCTGACACGCGTGTCATAGGTTCGCCATCACTGCAGTAGAGACAAGTTGGGGGTGATGTTTATGCTAAGTCATTTAACTAGAGGACCTTTCAAAAAAATTTTAATTGAGTTTTTAAGAGAGAAAGAGAGGAAAAACCCATCAACTTGTTGTTCCACTTACTCATGCATTTACTGGTTGATTCCTGTATGTGCCCTGACCAGGGATCGAACCTGCAACCTTGGAGTTGATGATGCTCTAAGCAACTGAACTACCCGGCCAGGACCCTAGGAGACCTCTGAAGCTGCCTCCCAGGTTTGCACTGAACACACTCCGATGAGCCAATATGGCCCTAGTGTCTCTTCCTAACCCCATCTCCAGGTCAGGAATGCAAGTGCTGTCAACACTCAGCTTAGATTTACACAAAGACCAAGAGGTCATCATGGAAAGGACCACCGTGCCTCGCTGGCACCGGTCCCCCGGCTGCTTCTCGTGGCTCCCGGCCGGGTAGCTGGAGTGGGAGAACCAGCCGGGAGGCTGACGGGTGGCCCACAGTGGGGCTCCCCTGGGCAGCAGCTCAGCATTCACGTCCTGTTTCTGGCGTGTTGCTATCCCTCTTTTCTAGTAGCTACCTTCATTTCTCCCATTTTCCCTGAATCTACAGATTCGCCTACAAAAAGGTGCAGTAATAAACTGACGATTTTGATCATGGGACATTCTGCAAAGTGAAATGGGATTTCACCTCTAACACGAGAGGCATGGACTTCAGTAACAAGGACGTTGCTCTGGGACTCCAGGCGCCACTGAGCCTGGACGGCGTGACCCTGGATAGGTCAACAGCAAGTCTGCGCTCCCAGTTCCTCATCCGTGAGTCCCAGCTGGTTGGGTGAAACGAACGCTATGGTCGCTTCAAGTCTGGAAATTCCCAGGGACTATACAACGCCCAAGAGAATATCTATTGCTGCAATTACTTAAAAATAATCTGTAACAATTTAAGCATTATAGGCAAACCGACGAAAGAATGTACTTACTGAAGCTGCTATCACGTGAGCTACTCTTAACCTGTGTCATGCTTTCTCTACTGATGCTCGGGATACAGAACACAGTCTGTCTAATAAATCTAGATTTTTTTTTTTAATGTGGAAAAGCAGTATTTTCTGAAAGCACGTGCCTTAGAGAAAAAATAATGCAAAAGAGAGAAATCTTGTCTGTTGAAAGCACAGTACAATTGGGTTGATCTCCAGCACTCCTTAAAAGGCAGGTTTAGTAAAAATAACCCCTCAGGTGGCCACAGGGGAGCCCAGGGCCAAAGGAGGACTCCACAACCAATGGTTCTTCTCCAGACTTACTGAGAGCAGCGTCTATGGGAGAGTAGAGTATTGAAAAAGCCCAGCATGTGAGCTGCTTTTAGCACGTGGTTTTTTTTAAAACATTAACCATTTCTTCTGTTAGTTATAGCTTACCAATGGAAAACACCACTTCTAAATTCAAATCCTATTTAAGATTCATTCATTGGCTGCCTCCTGCACGCCCCACACTGGGGATCGAGCCCGCAACCCCGGCATGTGCCCTGACTGGGAATCAAACCCTGACCTCCTGGGTCATAGATCGATGCTCAACCACTGAGCCACCACAGCTGGGCTCAAGGTGTTTTCTTTTTAATCCTCACTTTCTTTTTAGCTTCCAGTCCTTAGCAGCCATACAAATAATTTTTACATCCAGTTGAAGGTAACAGAACTTGAAGAAACCAGGTGAAACCAACTTTCTTTATTCCCATTAAACAGTCAAACCCTACACAGGATTGGAGACCGTGGTGGGTGACACCCCCTGAGGACCATCAGGCTCAGGTGACCGAGTGCCACTGACCAAGTTAGCATCTAAGCATCCAAACGCTTCTTAAGAGCGTCAATGAATAATTCACCCCAGAAAGGCCAGCCGAAAACTGAAAGCTTAAGAGGCCTAGAGGTGAACTCCAGGTCTAAAGAAGGTCTCTCGGGACCGTACAGAAAAAAAGATCAACTTCCATTTCTATTCTCTGAGACAGGCGTATTTGTAGGAGGTTATTTTGAAAAAAAACAAGCAAGCCAACAAACCACAAAAGGCATCTTTAAATTTATGGATCTTCCTGAAAAATTGTAAGTGTTTTATATACTTAACTTGCTCTGCAGAGAGACAAATTAAAAGGTAAGAGAAAAATATACGACCTTTAATAAGGGCACTCACTGCATTTAAATGCAGTTGATCGTAAGAACCACAGAGAAAGGCTTTTAAATAGGAGACAGTTGGCCCCAGCCCAGACCCTCTGAAATGGAAGGTCCAGGGTTGGGTCCAGGAATGTTTTGTTTTGGTTTTTTTTTTTTTTTCTCTCTTTCTTTGATTTTTTAAAAGCTCCCCACAAGATTTCTGGAAAAAAGATGGCAGAAGAAACTTCGATCAGAGAATTGTGTGTTCCCAACAACAAGAGGTGAAAATTAACAGCCAGGAATATGGTCAACAACAGCAAATAAATCAATAAGGAAAGGTGCATAACCCCAGTCTGCACACTTGGAAAGTGGGGGCTGGGTGGGGACGGGGATTCTGGGGCAGCACAGAATGGACACTGGCTGACCCTCACTGCCACAGGGGGAAGCCCATGAGACCCCGAATGCTGACACAAACAGAAGTGAACGGAGGGCTCAGCAAGCACTGGGGACAGTGACAAAAGACAGCCAGGCCGCCCAGGGGGAGATCACCCCAAACTAGGATTCCAAGGAAGAGGATACACCTTTGACCTCATAGAGTAAACCCCCAAAAGAACCTCTAACCAGTCCCTCCCCCACCCTCACCCTGTGCTGGAGCTCAGGGGGAAAGACGGAAGGTACTAGAAGCAGGGACAAGACCTTCATGGACACTCTCCGCATCGGGAGCCCGATGATGCTTCTGGTGATGACAAAAGCAGGCTTAGGCACCTGCCCAGCAGTTTACATGCTCAACTCAGTAAGTCCCCCCAACAACCTTATAAGGAGGGAATTAGTATTATTTCCATTTTATAGATGAAAAGATAAAACAGAGAGTATTTTGCCCCAAATCAATGAAAGGACCGAGACTGCATCCTAGGCATTGGGACTCTAGTCTGTCCTCGGAACCGCGTCACTAAACTGCCCATGTTAAATACAACCCAGCTGAGAAGATATGTAATATAGGAGAAAAAGGAGGGAGGGAGGGAGGAAGTGGATAACAGAGAAAAACCCAGCCTGGAAGAAAACATCCAAGGAAAAGACACTAAACCAAACTCCTCCAGAATAGTTCCCACTACAGACAAACTTAGTTAAAACACAAAGCCAACAGAGCAAGAATCCTCAGGTCATAGGATAAAACCGAGTCAGATAAGGGGAGACTGCAAAGCAAGAAAAAGAACGAAGAACTAAACCACTCAATTACAGAACTAATATAAACTAGGCTGGCTATCACATTTCATAGAGGAAAAGTTTAGAGATACTCACCAGGTGAAAAACAGCTAACATCATGAGGGGAAAAAAGACCAGGCAAAGAACAAGAGGACAAGCACATAAGGAAAACTCGTATCCCTGCAGTATCTAACCCATAAGTAGAATCGAAAAAAATAATTAGATCCAACGGAAGGAAGTTCCCCTGAAAACAATGAAGAATTGAACAGCACAGAGCAAGAATCCTCAGGTCATAGGATAAAACAGAGTCAGATAAGGGGAGACTGCAAAGCAAGAAAAAGAACGAAGAACTAAACCACTCAATTACAGAACTGATATAAACTAGGCTGGCTATCACGTTTCATAGAGGAAAGTTTAGAGGTACTCACCAGGTGAAAAAGAGCTAACATCATGAGGGAAAAAAAGACCAGGCAAAGAACAGGAGGACAAGAACATAAGGAAAACTCGTATCCCTGCAGTATCTAACCCTTAAGTAGAATCGAAAAAAATAATTAGATCCAACGGAAGGAAGTTCCCCAGAAAACAATGAAGAATTGAATAGCATATGAAGGGCCTGAAAAACTGACAGAACGGTGCACACAAGGCTCAGCCTCGTGAAGCTACCAAACTGCTGAGGAACAAAAAAATCCTTCCCAGGTACCCTCAAAAGAGCAAGTCACCCACAAAGACAAAGAATCTGGCTGCCCCACATGTTGCCACCAAAACACAGCTGCAACCAAGTCTGGGGAGAAGGGAAGTAGGACAGAGAACAGCCAGGCTACATTGTTGTCAAGGATAGAGGCGCTCCTCAACCAGAAAGAACTCCGGATTATGCCAC